CAGAGCAAAACGAAGCCTGGGAGAGAGATCCCCACACCGGGACAGAGGAGAGACAAAAAGAGACAAAGAGACAGACACACAGAGATGCAGAGATTTGTGAAGAGATTGGAGATAAAGAGACAAAGAAGCCCCCAGAGGCAGGACCCAGGCGCTGTGCCCATTTCCACTCCTGGCCCACCCTCTCCACAGTCGTGGGGGCCCACGAAGTTCTCTGGACAGAGGCCAAAGGGTGTGGTGAGGCGTGTAGGTAAAGCAGAAGGTCTGGCCACTGCAGGGACTGACTAACCTCTCCAGTAACGCTGCTTCACCACCACCACCACCCCGTATAGCTCCAGACCCTAAGGTTGAGGCTGCAGTGTCCTCTTCTCGGCACTCCAGCTGAGGTCTGTCCAGCTGTGTGACCTGAGGCAGGAATTTTCCCTTTCTGGGCATCACTTTTCCTGTTTGTAAAATGAAGTGAAGGATCCTCATGGGACTCAGGAACCCTGTGTGGATATTCACCTACAGAGCATAGCTGTCTGGGTGGGGAAACAGCCCAGAGAAGGCAAGGGCCTTGGCAAGGCTATGCAAGTGCTGTGGGGGACCACCCATGCTGTCTAGACCAGGGTGAGATGGAAGAAAGGGGCTTTGTGTAGTCCTGGCCCACAATCACATGTTCTAGGATCTGTGTCCTGCCCTGGTCTGTCTGACCACCTTTTTCTGTTTCTACAGAATGGGTGTTTTGATAACAGGAGTGTGCTGAAGCTGGCTCAAGTGAATTGATTGTCAAGCAAGCTGATTGTCACAGTCTCAGGAATTTTGGAACTGGATGTTAAACACAGCCATTATTAGAAATTAAATTATGCAAACATACCCTTAAATAAATTGTATTAAAAGCGCAAGTTAATAGGCCGAATGAGGTGGCTCAGGCCTGTAATCCTGGCACTCTGAGAGACCAAGGCTGGTAGATTGCTTGAGCTTAGGAGTTCAAGACCAGCCTGAATAAGAGTGAGACCCTGTCTCTAAGAAAAATAGGAAAAGATTAGCTGAGTGTTGTGGTGGGCCCCTGTAGTCCCAGCTACTTGGTAGGCTGAAGCAAGAGGATCGCTGGAACCCAGGAGTTTGAGGTTGCTGTGAACAATGATGCCATGACACATCACCCAGGATGACAGAGTAAGACTTTGTCTCAAAAAAAAAAAAGGCCAGCCCCTGTGGCTCAGTGGGTAGGGTGCCGGCCCCATATACTGAGGGTGGTAGGTTCAAACCCAGCCCCGACCAAACTGCAACAAAAGATAGCTGGGTGTTGTGGTGGGCACCTGTAGTCCCAGCTACTCAGGAGGCTGATGCAAGAGAATCGCCTGAGCCCAGGAGTTGGAGGTTGCTGCAAGCTGTGTGACACCATGGCACTCTACCGAGGGTGATAAAGTGAGACTCTGTCTCTACCAAAAAAAAAAAAAAAGTACAGGTAATTCATACTCATCATATCCAAATTATTTTACTGCATTTACTATTATCTATGCTCTTGAGGTTATTTACATCTATTTCAGCTGCATAGTGAAACTACCATGTAAGGGTGGGCTATTGTGAATCTCTTCTCAAAAGATGATTTGAGTGACATCACCTTGGTAGCCTGAAATTAAACATAGTGGGAATATTTATGTCATGGAAATTGGCAAATGCTACAAATTAAGGCCCCCATCTCCATCCCCCAGAGGGTACAACACTGGTTGATATTCTCACCTATGCGGAGTCATGGAGGCTTCTCCTATGCCAGGCTTTGAGCACTTTATCCTTCTTGCCACCTCATGAAGTAGGGAGCATTATTATCAACTCCATTTACAGATAAGGAAACAGAAGCCCAAGGAAGAAAAGTCACATGCTGAAGGTCACACAGCTGCTCGTGAGTGTCAGGGCTAGGATTTGAATTCCTAGTGTCCTTAAACTCCATAACTATGTTTTCTGTCCCTGAATAATAATATTAGCAACCTCAGGCTGTGACAAATCAGTAAAATATATGAGTAAAGTGTTTATAGGGGGCCAGATTAGAACTTCAAATGTAGGAACATTATTATTCTCACTCAGCAGATGGGACCTGAAGAGTCTCAGGGAAGATGCAAGGGAGGAGTTCAGGATAGTGTTCTAGAATCCCCCAAGGACCCTGCAGGGTGAGAGATAGGGTCTTGGAGGTGGGGTGGAGGGACTGAGCACCCCTAACCATGTCCCAGCCCTAACAGTGAGAGTTGCAATTCTTCCATTTGCCACACGAGGGTAGAAGATCGCTTCTCTGCAGTCTGGGCACTCCCTCCACACAGGGCACACTTCTGGGCCCAGACTTACTTCCCTGTCCTGGGCACTGTTCCCACCCCATTTCCCAGATGAAGGAACGAAGGCTTACAGAGGGAGAGGCTATAAATGGAACCTTGAAAATGTTGTGCTAAGTGATAGAAGCCAGTTACAAAAGGCCACAGAATGTATTATTTCATTTACACGAAATGTCCAGAATGAGCAAATTCATGGAGGCAGAAAGTGGACTAGTGTTGCCAGGCACTGGGGGGTGGGGGAGTACTGGGGAGTGACTACTAATGGGTATGGGGGTTTCTTTTGGGGGTGATTAAAATGTTTAGGAATTAGTGGTGATGCTTCCCATAATTTTATGAATATACTAAAACCCATTGGACCCTATGCTTTATTTATTTATTTATTTATTTTTTGAGACAGAGTCTCACTATGTCCCCCTCAGTAGAGTGCTGTAGCATCACAGCTCACAGCAACCTCAAACTCTTGCGCTTAAGTGATTTTCTTGCCTCAGCCTCCCAAGAAGCTGGGACTACTGGCACCTGCCACAACACCTGGCTATTTTTTTGTCGCAGTTATCATTGTTGTTTAGCTGGCCTGGGCCTGGTTCAGACTCACCAACCTCAGTGCATGTGGTTGGTGCCGTAACCACTGTGTTATGAGCGCTGAACTGTGCTTTATTCTTTTTTAATTTTTTGGGGACAGAGTGTCACTTTGTTGCCCTGGTAGAGTGTCATGGCATCATAGCTCACAGCAACCTCAGATTCTTGGGTTCAAGCCATGCTCTTGCCTTAGCTTTCCAAGTAGCAGGAACTACAGGCACCCACCACAACTCCCAGCTAGTTTTAGAGACAGGTCTCACTCTTACTCACACACCTCAGCCTCCCAGAATGCTAGGATTATAGGTGTGAGTCACTGTGCCTGACCTTGGACCCTATGCTTTAAAAGAGTGAATTTTATGGTGTGTGAATTACATTTTAATTTAAAAAGGGGAGAGGTCTGAGAAAGATCACAGCCTGTGACAGGCCACTGATACCACTAGTCCAAGCTGCAAAGGCAGGGGTGGGGGTGGAAGTGGGATATTAGGGAAGGGGGAGCAAGGTCCACTCCTCCCTTCTGGGTCACCCAACCAGCCCCTCCCCACAGCCTATAATCTGGGGAATCCAGTCCTTAAACTGAGGCCTTCAGGTCTTTGAATCTTTTTTTTCCTTTGAGACAGTCTCACTATGTTGCCCTTAGTAGAGAGCTGTGGCATCACAGCTCACAGCAACCTCAAACTCAAACTCTTGAGCTTAAGTGATTCTCTTGCCAAAGCCTCCCAAGTAGCTGGGACTACAGGCGCCTGCTACAATGCCAAGCTATTTCTTTCTTTCTTTCTTTCTTTCTTTTTTTTTTTTTTTAGACACAGCCTCAAGCTATCCCCCCTGGGTAGAGTGCTGTGGCATCACAGCTCACAGCAACCTCCAACTCCTGGGCTCTAGTGAGTCTCCTGCCTCAGCCTCCCAAGTAGCTGGGACCACAGGTACCTGCCACAACACCTGGATATTTTTTTGGTTGTAGGCGTCATTGTTGTTTAGTGGGCCCGGGCTAGATTTGAACCCGCCACCTTAGGTGTATGTGGCTGGCACTGTAACCACTGAGCTATAGGCGCCAAGACAGGCCTTTGAATCTTAAATCGGGATCAATTCCCTATCTGTTGGGATTAGGGGAGGAGCTGTGATCCTATGTGGACCCCAGCCCCTAACCAACCCGAGCCCCAACTTTGTCTAGGCCTGATCATTCCTCCCTCTTAGGCTGTGCCTATACCCCAAACTCGGCCTTAAAAGTAACCCCAACCCCTACATCCAAGCCCACGTAAGGCCCATACCAACCCCAGCCCCACATGGATATCCACCCCCTCAGTTCCCTCCAGCAGAATTCCACCCCCAGACCCACCTCCTATCTTCAGCTCTGCTTGTCTCCACTCTGCAGTCTTTTCACAAACCTTGACTGAGCACCTGCTGTGGGCCAGGTGGGCAGCTAGGGGTGTACCTGATTAGCAGGATCAACAAAGTCTGCGTGGCTGAATTCTCATTCAGTGGGAGGGAGAGTCAGAGGATCTGCAGGAAAGCCAGATGCCTCTGATAATTTCAGATTGTAGAAGGTGCCATAATCATATTGACAAATCAGGATGATGTCCCAAGAAGAAAGAGGACCCAGAGGAGCTCAGGAAGGGGCACGACAGAACTGGGACATCAGGAGGAGGCCATGCGAAGACCTGGGGCAGGGGCTTTGAGGCAAAGAGAACTACAATTCTGTTCTGGTTCTTCTCCCATCTGGCCCCAACCCTCTGGGCCCAGACCTTAACTTTCCTTAAGGTCTTCACTCCATAGCAGAGAGCCCTAGAGAGAGGTACACCCCTCTCACCCCCTCATCCAAAGGCCTCAGGGCTTGCGCAGGCTGGACAGCAGCTTTGGGCCCCAGTCCAGCACAGGGTGTCTGCCTGGGGTGCCCAGGATGGTGTTGTCACCTTGGGAGGCGTGAAGAGCAGGCAGGGGGGTAGATTCCGGCCTAGGAAGGCTGTGGGCCTCGTCCTGCCCAGCCCAACCACAGCCTGGCCTGAAAGGGCAGACAGATAATGAGTCCTTCCCGGCCCCTGGCCCCAGAGAGGGAGGGGTTTCCTGACAGGAAATTGTCCTCCTCTGAGCAGCCCCCCCTCAGATCCAAGCTCTCAGCAGTCCTGGCAGAAGTAGCCTGGGGACAGGACAGCAGCAGGGCAGAGGGACAGGCACGGAGGACAGAGGTGAGTGTGCTGGGGGCAGGGGTATGATTCACACCCCAAGTCTTTCTGGGGAAAATGCACTGCCCAGAGTTGGACTGGACTGGAGTTCAGAAGAACTTGGTGAACCGAGGAGAGGGTGGGAGCAAAGATACAATTAGGGGACCTGACCACAGGAGGATGCCGGCAAAAGGACAGAAAGGAGATGGGAGCAGGAGGATGTTGCAGGGGAGACCTCGGGAACTTTGAGGGCCCAGAGAGGCTTTGATGGGGCCTGGAGAGCTTGGAAACACCAAGGGAGAAAAGAGATGAGATAGCATCGGGTCTGATGCCGTCCAAGTCCAGGTGGGAACACTAAAGCCAGGAGGTCATTGGATGTTTACTCCATCCCAAGAGATGGGGTCTTGGACATGGGGAACAGGGGCGAGAACTGGGATGGAGACTTAGCGGGAGACAGGGTCCAGGTTGGAGCTCGAGTTGTGGATGGGCTTGCAACAAGCTGGATCCATGACAGGACTATGTCTGGGGGCAAGGACTCAATGGGGGTTGCATTGGTTGTAGTTCAGCTTGGGGACATACAGTGTATAAGGACAGTCCTTTAATGCAGGCACTGGGGACTGGAGGTGATGGATTCTGCAGAAAGAGGTCAGGGCCTCTACAGAGGGTTTGGGGCTTTGGGGAAAGGCTGGCAGTGAGGAAGAGGAGGAGGGGCCCAAGGAGGGAAGCTCTGGTCGCCAAGACATCCTGCAAGGTTGGGAGGCTGGGGCTTGAGGGATGCCTCGGAAGTGAGTCAGGGGCACCGGGAGGCAGACGAGGGGGTTGAAGGGGCAGGATGTCAGAGCCAGTTTGCAGAGGGGGTGTTGGAGCCAGGAAGGGAAAAAACGTCGGGGTCAGTTTTGGGAAAAAGTTACAGGCAGGTTTGGGGGTGTTGGAAATATTTGAGGGTACCGAATCCAGTTTGGTGAGGGTGGGGGGATGCTGGAGCCAGGAGGGAGAATATCAGACCTAGTTTGGACAAAATTGACTTTAGCTGGAGGGAAACTGGAACCTGCCACGTTGGGGTGGAGGTGAAGATGGTTTGGGGGAGGATGATGGAACCAGTCTGATGAGAGGCACACAGAAGCCGGTTTGGAAGGTGAAAGTCAGAGGAATTGGTATGCGGACAGTGTGGTGTGTGGGGTATTATTGCACACAGCCATGGGGGCTGTAGGCAACGGTATGCCACAATGACTGTATCCCAGGAGTTGGGTGCCTGTGGTAGCTAGAAATTCGGTCAGATGGTGTTTCCAGAACAGGAGGATTAAGAAGCAACAGCTCAGATCCAGGACTGAAATGGGGGAGGAATAAAGGGCCCTCCTTATCACAGGGAGGGATGCCCTTGCCTACAGCCCATGTAACTCAGACCCTGTCAGCACCAGCCTACCCCTAACCCTGTGCCTGCACAGTCTGACCCTGTCCCAGTTACAACCCACAGCTCCAGCAGTAGGAGGATAAATGAACATCTGGCACATTATTTACACAGTTTCGGCAGAATCATTCAGTGGAATATTATGTAGCACTTAAAATAAATGAACTAGATCCATATGGCCAGACAGAGATGAAGCTCATTTTGTAGGTTTCATGGAAACAAAAGAATTTATAAAAGCACATTGCAGGATTCAAATAGTGTGATACCATTTATAGAGAGTTTGAAACCATGGAAAACAATACACCATGTATTATTTCAAGATACAAGTCTCTGTAGCATGGGATAATAATCCACTTAGATGGATGGACATCACATTCTGAATGCTGGTTTCCCTAGGAGAAAGTTTGAGTGAGTGGGGACCAGGGGAGGCAGTGGGAGGCTCCAGTGCATTTTTCTTTTTAAAAACCTGCACAGGCTCGGTGCCTGTGGTTCAAGCGGCTAAGGCGCCAGCCACATACACCTGAGCTGGCAAGTTCAAATCCAGCCCGGGCCTGCCAAACAGCAATGATAGCTGCAACCAAAAAATAGCCAGGCATTGTGGTGGGTGCCTGTAGTCCCAGCTACAGGAGGTGGAGGCAGGAGAATCACTTGAGTCCAGGAGTTGCAGGTTGCTGTGAGCTGTGATGCCACAGCTCTACCCAGGGAGACAGCTTGAGACTCTGTCTCAAAAAAAAAAAAAAAAAAAAACCCTGCACAGAGGCAAGACATAGTGGCTCTTGCCTTTAATTCTAGCACTCTGGAAGACCCAGGTGGGTGGATTGCTTCAGCCCGGGAATTCAAAACCAGCCTGAGCAAGAGCGAAACCCCGTCTCTACTACAAATAGAAAAAACTAGCCGGGAATGGTGGCACATGCCTGCAGTCCTAGCTACTCGGGAGGCTGAGGCAGGAGGATCTCTTGAGCCCAGGAATTTGAGATTGCTGTGAGCGGGGTTGATGACACAACATTCTGTCCATGGCAAAATAATGAGACTCTATCTTAAACAACAACAACAACAACAACAACAACAACAACAAAAGCCTGCAGGGAATAGAGCAAATGTTTGCATTAGATGTAGCTAAGATTGTAAGCACAAGGGAGTATATTAAGTTTGTTTTCTGTACTTTTCTGAATGTTTGGATGATTTCATCATTTACAAAATAACCCTTCCATGGCTCCCCAGGGCCCTTGGGGAAAGCCTCAGTCCCTTGTCAAGGCATTCAAGGCCCATGTGGCCAACTCCTTCCTGATCTCTTCCAGCTCCACTCATTGCACCTCCTTCCCACCCAAGGAACGAACTGTCTTGCCTTCTTCCTTCCTTCCTTTCCTGCTTAGAACTCATTCCTTGAGTGCCTGCCCTGTACTGGGAGCTGGGGACACAGTGGTGACTGAAACACAGCCCTGCCCTCCTTTGGCTCACAGTCCAGGGGAGGGACACGGACTTAATCCCCCCACAGACAATCCAGAGCAGGCAAGGGGTAGGATAAGAGATCCCGCAGGCTGTGGGACCTGGGAGTCCCGAAGGGCTTCCTGGAGGAGGAGGCATTGCAACTGAGTCCTGAAGCATGAATGGAGCTTGGAAAACAGGCTTCCATGGAGGACCAGCAGACACTGAAACCCAGAGGGGTCTGGGGCAGCACTAGCAAGTAGGCCTCTTCCAGACCACACAGGTGTGGTGAGGGTCTTGAACCTCATCCTGTGGGCACTGGGGAGCCATGGAAGGGTTAGGAGAAAGGGAGAGCCAGGTTTGTCACCTGTCAAGGTCCTCAAAGATGAACTGGAGGTGCCAAGACTAGGGGCTGGAGGCCAGGGGTGAGGATAGGGCAGGGAGAGGCCATGAGAAGGGGTGAAAAGAGAGATCATAGATGGGAGAGAGAAAGTTGGGAGAAGGAATGGGCAGGACTCAGGAAGCTGTGAACCCTACCAGGCCAGGGGCTGGGTCTGCTTTGGCTACTGCTGCACCTCTAATGCCTGCACAGGGCTGGGCCCATGGCAATAAATACGTAAGTTTTTCTTTCTTTTTTTTTTTTTGTTGTTGTTATTTTAATTGCAGTAAAGCACACATAACAAACTGAGACAGGGTTTCATTCCGTTGCCCAGGCAGAGTGTAGCCATACAATCACTACTCACAGTAACCTCAAACCTGGGGTCAAGTGGTCCTCCTGCCTCAGGCTCCTAAGTAGCTGGGACTACAGGTGGGTGCCACCACGCCTGGCTAATTTTTCTATTTTTTGTAGAGACAGGGTCTTACTATGTTGCTCAGATTGGTCCTGGACTCCTGGCCTGAAGCAATCCACCTGCCTCCCAAAGTGCTAGGATTACAAGTGTGAGCCACTATGCTTGGCCCTTTTAAGCCATTTTAAAGTGTATGATTCAGTGGCATTTAGTGCATTCACAATGCCGTGCAACCATCGCCTCTTTCTAGTTCCAGAACACCTTCATTACCCCAGAAGGAAAGGTTGTGGCCCTCAGCAACCCCTCTCCAGCTCCCCACCCCACCCCCACCTCCCAGGCACCACGGATCTCCTTTCTGTCTCTAAGGATTTGCCTATTCTGGCTCCTTCCCAGTACGTTTTTGTTGAAGGGATGAATGAGGTAGAGACAACAGAGGCACAACCCCAACAGAGGCACAAGGAGAGGAAGGATTGAAGCAGGTGCCCAAGAGTCTGGCTTGGATCTCTGGGTAGATGGTAGCCTCAGTCCTCATGCAGCCTCTGCCCTTGGTGGCTGTCTCATTTTGGGAGAAAGCCTTCCCAGCTCTGAGTCTGTTTCCTTGACAGCTCACTGATAGGGCAGGAGTGAGACAGGGAAAGGGTCTGAATGTTGGTTCTCAGGGGAGGAACCTGAGCTTTGCGATCTGATAGATCTGGGTACAAATCCCCACTTTGTTCCTAAATCTCTATGGGATCATAAGCAAGTGACTTTGCTTCTGAGCCTCAATTTCCCCATCTGCAATATGGGGATAATAACAGTCACCATCTGGTAGGATTGTGCAGATTGAAGGAATTATTTAGTGGTCAGACTAGTACCTGATAGACACACCCCGAAGTACTCTGTACACAGAAGCATTGCCATGAATGTCACCATTGCCACCAACACCATTCATGGTCATTATTGTTCCTCCAGGTCCCCACCTGCTCAAAATGCCCATCCTGAAGAGTCTTGGGATGGCAGACTCTAAGGTGCCCCGGGCAGGGACCCTGCCCATGAGGTCCTCTCGGAACCCCTTTGAAGAAGTTTCAGGGCTAGAAGAAGAAGAGACTGGAGAGTTGGGGACCCTGCCCAATGGGACATCTTGCCGCCGCCGCGCCACCTTGGAGAAGCTGGCAGGCCTGGCCCCCTTCCGTCTGGGCTGGGCTCCAGGCCGGCGAGCAGGCAGCCCTGGGGATGGGCAGCCCCGCTCCTTCCTGGGCCGCATGCTGCCACCAGGGATACGCAGGAGCTCAGCAGATTTTGGCCTCCTGTCCCGGCTTCAGGGGACCCGAGCCCATGGTGCTGAGGAGGTGGCCAGGGAGGCAGCCCAGAGGCTGGCCTTCCTGAGACTGGGGCGTGGGCCCAAGCCCCGGCGTGCGTCCTTGGCTGAGAGAGTGGTGCCTGCAGGTGAGGCAGCTCCTGAACCCCCACCCAAGGTCCCGGAGCCCCCAAAGATGAAGGAGCCCTTGTCAGGTGAGTCAGGAACCCTAACCCAGGCCTGGGAGAATCACACTGCCTATTTCCATCCCTAACCTGGGCATCCCAGTCTTCATGCTTAACTCTATTCCAGCCTCCCCCTCACCCCCAATCTTGCCCTCCCCCCACCTGCCACCTTCAGCCTCATCCCTACATCCAGCACACTTACCTTGGTCCCGTGTCCTCAGGTTTCCTCCCTACCCCCAATTTCAACCCTCTTTCCCTTCCCAACCTGGAACTCAATCTCATCCTCTTTCACCTTTTGGCTCCCCAACCTGCAGACTCCACCCCTCCTCATGCCCACCCAGCCCAGCCTTCCCTACCCCCAATCTCCTCTTCTTTTCTGTCCTACACTGAACCCCAACCCTAACTCCAGCCCAATCCCAAAACCCTCTCCCCAACTACCACCTTCAACTCCATCCCTATCTCAACTCACATCCATACTTAATCTTCAAATTCACAAGGCCCAGCTCCGCCTTGCACCCCCCGAATCCATCACCACCTGTCTTTGTTTCCCACAGCTCCCATGACAAAATACCACAGACTTTACAAATTGTTTTTAGAGGGATACAATTCAACCCATAACACCACCCATCTCCATCCTCAAGTGCTTGTCCCCAACCCTTTGCTTTCTCCAAGTGCCATCTTTAGCATCATCTCCGTGCCAGCACCTGACAGCCCCAGATGGTCCAATGCCATCTCAAGTCCCATTCTCCCAATCCCATCCCCAGCCCCATCCCATGTCTGAATATGTTTCAGCCCTTACCTCTCTTCCATCTAACCCCAACCCCAACCCCAGCCCATCTCATCAGCCACCTCCAACCTCCTTATTCAGTCCTACTCCCATTTCTAGTCCCTTCCAGCCCCCAACTCCAACTCCAGCCACCAATTCAACCATCCTTCTCTTCATCATCAGTCCCGTCCCACTTTCACCCCCAGTCCCAATCTTAACCTGGTCCCTAGCCTCTGTCTTCAGTCCACTGGCACTCACATCCAAACTCATATCAGTCTCCACCTTCTTTCCATCCTCAACTTTCTTCTAACTCATCTCTCCCACACCTCCAATCACACTCCTTCCCCAAGCCCCAATGCCATTCTCACTTCCTTTCCTATTCCCTCTGCAGATCCCTCACCAACATCATCCTGACCCTAAACTATCTCATTCCGACCCCACCTACACCTCATCCTCATCCTCAGTGCCATCCCCAAACCTGTCCCAACCCACCCTTACTTTGTCCCCTTCCTGGCTGCCCCTTCCTCTCCTTGGCCTGCTCTTTGAGGCCACGGGGGCCCCAGGAGCTCCTTTCCATCCTCTAATGCCCTCCACAGTCTGGCCAGAGGCTATTTCAGCCCCAGCTCCCTGGGGACTGGGAGGGCACTTCAGGGAGGTGATGAGGGGGTGCCGCCAGCTCCCGCCTTCTGGAAACGGATGGGCAGAAATAGCGCTGGCCAGGAAATAGTTTCTCTGCCAGGGAGGAAGCAAGGAGGGGGGGTGGATAGAGGTGTTGAGGGTAACCCTGGGCCTTGGGACCCTCCCTCTGCATTCACTCAGAGGCCTTCCAACCACAGGGCTCCACTTTCTGAAGAGCGTTTAAACTTACCAGAGTGCCAGGTCATTCCAACAGCCGTCCAGTCCCCTAAAGACCCCCTCTTTGGTCTCATATCCTCTCCCCATCTCCAAGCCCCGCTCCCCCCTTCTCTGGGTACCAGGTTCTGCTGTCCTCCCCCTTCTCCATTCTTTACCCCTCCCACTTCCTCTGGTCCCTTCCTCCAGCCCCATCCATGCACGTTCTTACCCTAACCCCTCAGCTTTCCTGACCCCTTTCTCTTCCCTAACCCACTCCCTGTGACCCTCCTTTGTCCTCTGACCCCTGACGCTTGTCTCTTACTCAGGATCCTCTTTCCTTCTTCCCCAACCCCTAACCTCCTGATCTTCCTCACTCCCTCTCAGACCCTTGGCTCCATCTCCACACATGCGCCTTCTAGTGCCTTGCCCCTCACCCCCAAATCCAGGTAATTTTGCCACCTCCAGAACGCCTCTTCTCGCTCCAACTCTCTCCCACCCAGCCACCAGGGTCTGGCCAGTTCTCTCACCCCCTCCCATTCTCTGTCCCCTGAATCCACTCTCCCCTTCCCCCACCCTCCTCCCTGGACCTCCCCTTCCACTCCTGGCACCCACCTCTCCCTCACCCTCCTCATCCCGTCGTCCACACACCCCTCACCTGACACCTTTCTTTCTTCCCCGATCCCTCTCTCCGCGCCCACACCTCCACCCGCCCGCCCGGTTCCAACCCTGACCTCCCGCCTTGCCCCCACAGTGCTGGAGATCCTGAGCTTGATCCAGCAGCGGGAGCTCGCGCGAGCGGACGAGCACATCCTGGAGCTGGAGGCTGAGGAGCTGGCGTCGTCTGGGGGCACCCCGGGGCCGCCCAAGGCCGAGGGCACGGGCGGGGGCCGCCGGGCGCGGGACGTGGCGCTGCTGTATGAGGCCCTGCAGCGTGAGCTGTGGGCGCTGGTGCGCGAGACGCTGGCGGGCCCCGGACCCGGCGCGGGCGCAGGGGCGGGAGCCGTGGCGCAGCTGGGCCAGGTGCTGGTGCAGGAGGAGGCGGCCGACGGGCGCCGGGGCCCCGGGGCGGCCCGCAAGCTGCGCTCCCGCTGGGCCGAGGCCGTGGCGCGCGCGGCGCGGGAGCGCCTGGAGGCTGCGGCGCCCGGGGCCCCCGGGGGCCTGGCGGGGCAGCTGGAGGCGCTGCGGGCGCGGCTGCTGGAGGACATGGCCGTGGTGCGGGGCCGCCTGGCGCCCGCCTATCCCGCTGGCCTGGGCGCCTTTGGCGTCTACCTACGCGGCTACCACGGCGCCCTGGCGGAGTGGCTGGGGGCCTCGGCCCGCCGCAGGCTGCCGCTGGCCGACCGCTACGCGCTGCTGCACTGGCACAACCAGGTGTACCCCAGGTGAGCTGGACCGGCCAGGTTGCCCGGAGGGCTCTAGAACCCAAGCCCCTAGCACTGGTTTCTTCGGATCCGAAGACTTCGGAACAGCTTCAAACCTCTAACCCTAACACCGTCACCCCTTCCAGTCCTCAGCACGGGTGACATTTACAACCCTAGAGTCTTGGTGCTGTCCATTCTTGCCACACCAACACCTTAGCACTGTGGACCCTTCCAGTCCTAGAGCCTCAGTACCGTTCTGGTCCAAGACCTTTGACACTGTGAACACTTAGCACTCAGGATCCACGCTTCCAAGGCTAGAACCTTAGCACTCTAGACGCCTTTAGTCCTAGAACTTTTAGCATTATTGCCTTTCCATTCCTATAGTCTGTCTGTTAATCCTTCCCGACCTAAACCTTAGCGACATCTACAGTTACACTCCTAGAATCAGTAACATTGACTCTTCAGCCTTAAAATTGTAGGAATACCCACCCTTTCAGACCCAGGACCTATTGGCACCATTGACTCTTCCAGTTCTAAAGTCTTAGCATCATTAACCATTTCAGCCCTAGGAGTTCAGTGTGCACCTACCCGTCTAAGAACCTCAGCATCACTGACACACTGCCAGAATCTCAGCTGTTCATCCTTCCAGTCCTAGAATTATAGCCCAGTTACCATTCCTGTCCTAGAACCTTAGCCCGACGCACCCTTAATTTTAGCACAGTTGACCCTGAGAGTTCTAGAAGGTTTATCACCACTCCCCCTCTGTCTCTCTATCCAATTTTAAACTTTAGAATTTGAGGCTTGGCACCTGCAGCTCAAGTGGCTAAAGCACCAGGCACATACACCAGAGCTGGCAGGTTCGAATCCAGCCCTGGCCTGCCAAACAACAATGACAACTACAACCAAAAAATAGCCGGGTGCTGTGGTGGGTGCCTGTAGTCCCAGCTACTTGGGAGGCTGAGGCAAGAGAATAGCTTAAACCTAGGGGTAAGAGGTTGCTGTGAGTTGTGATGCCATGGCACTCTACCCAGGACGACACAGTTTCAGGCTCTGTCTCAAAAAAAAAAACTTAAGAATTTGTGACTCTTTTGACTTTAGAACCTTAGCAACAATGAGCCTTCCAGTCCTAAACCTAAACTTCATCCCGGCCTGGATCTTAGAACCTTGACACTGTTGACCAGTTTTAGGACCTTAGGGCTGTTGGCCCCTTCAACTCTGTAATTGTAGCATCTAGAACATACATATCCTTTAACCCTTCCCCAACCCTAGAATCTTATGACTGTTGAGACTTTGAATCCCCATCCTGATGGCCAAGGGATGAAATATGATGATTAGCTACAGCTGGGTCTCCTGTCCGCTCCAAGAAAGAGGGAATTTGCAACACTCAAACCACACATTGGAGAGTGAAATGTTGGGGGGGTGGTTCCTCCAACAAAAGCAGAATGGAAAGGCAGCAGCTACCAACGTCTACCACATGGTCTCATTTTGGAATTCATATCAATGATGCTCTTGTGCCACCCAAGAGATGGAGGCAGGATAGGGAGGTCTGGAAGCTTCCTGGATCTGTGGGACATGGGTTAAGTCCAATTTGTAGGGAAATGATATTTCTGACTGAGAGGAAGCCACAACCCAAAGCCTGGTGGGTGTGTGGGTGATGGGACGAGGGAGCAGATAGTGACGATACTGCAAAGTTTGAGACATGCAAGGGGATAGAGGAGAATGAAACCTGGTTGGGGAGGCTGCCAAGGCCAGGTGAGGCAGCAGTGCCTGGAAGCAGAGGAGGAAGGGAGAGTCTGTCTGCCAAAGCCAGACATGAGCGAAGCCTTGCGTGTCAGTTCCCCAAGCCTGGACTTGACCCTACAAGTCTTGCCAGGACACCATCCATCAGGGAGCTGACTCAGAGAACTGGAGCCAGGGGAGCAACAATTCCAAAGACTTCCTTTGAGGGATGAGCAAAGCTGGCCCAGAGAGAGGAAGGGAGTGGCCCAGGGTCACAAATGCTGTGAGTGGGAGAGTGTGTGGATGGGTCTGATTGACCAGTTCCACCTCTCACAGACCTCCCTGTCTCTCACTCCCTCTCCTAGAGAGGTCCTAGGGCTGGTGGACATGGTTGCCCTGGAGAACGGGGAGCTGGGGCCCCTTCTATCCCCTGGCACCCTGCGGGGTTTGGAGGACGAATGTGTCACAGATGTTAAGGTACCTGGGACTTCGCTGTTTGGGAGTGGGAGATGGGGTCACCATGGCTTTAGGGACCCCTCCTCTCCCCCTTTCACTATTCCCATATCCCTTATCCCTCAGAACTTCTGAGTTCTGTCCATAAGCCATAGACACGTACCCCTGCAATGATCATTTCCATCTCTGCTCAAGCACCAGCCCCCAGGCACAGAGACACCAATATATTTGCATATTTCAAATATTAGGGCAAGATTAAGTTTATTCACATGTGCCTAAAGAGTGACAGAAGTATGGCATAGCATTGAAGCATCTTTGCATATTAGCAGGGCGGACAGTAAACATAGTTAATGACTGTCTGGGCACAGATGCCCCTGAGCAGAACTGTCCCAGCCAAGAGTGGCCTGCCTGGCCACCATGGTGTCTCCTATCTGAGTGACAGTTCCTCCAGCCACAAAAATCAGAATCCTTGTGACCTGAAACCCTAGAACCATAGACTCAAGCCTGTCTAGATCCTCAGACTCATTGAAAACAACACATCTGACCAGAGAATCAGAGATGTGTAAGCTTTTGATCCCAGACCTTTGAAATTCCTGAATCACAGAATCTGAGGATCTTGAACTAATTGTTCAGCAGAACCTGAAAGCAGAGTCTTTCAGCCATCAGACAATGAAAAACAGACCCTTAAGGCCCTTGGCTATTAGGTGGAGGAAGTTTAAAACCACAGACTCAGTAATATAAAGCTCAGCCATAGAGGAATGACAGGGCTGAGCAAGTTTTCTGGTTCCACCTCTCTCTCCACCATCACCTTGACAAATTCAAGGGTAGAATTCAGAACTGCTCAGGGCTAAGGGCAAGGGGATCATAGCAGAGAGGGAAGGAGGCATACCCCCCGCACCCCCATCCCTGACTGCTGCCTGCCTCCTGTGTCCCTGCTCCAGGCTCAGACCCGGGCAGCCCTTCTTCGAGTGCTGCAGGAGGATGAGGAGCACTGGGGGAGCTCGGAGGAGCAGCCCAGCAGCCTGGCCCAGGATGTGTGTGAGGTAGGTGGAGAGGACAGGGCAGGGCATGGGCAGGGGCATGTACCAACCATCTAGGGGCAGGAACAAGGGATTCACTGGATCTGGCCCCCTCCTCACCTCTCATCCTGTGCAGCTGCTGGAGGAGCACACAGAGCGAGCACCACGCATCAGCCAGGAGTTCGGGGAACGGATGGCCCACTGCTGCCTGGGGGGGCTGGCAGAGTTTCTACAGAGGTAAGGGGACCCAGGGCAGGGTGCAGCTCTGATGGGGGTATCAGGACCTGGGATCCAACAGAGAGAAGGGAGATGAAATGGAGTCAGTAAGATTGGGCAGGGTGCCACAGCAGGGATGGTGGCTGGGTAGATTCAGTACCCAGGGAGGGGTCCCAATCCTGTGTGCCCCATCTGTCTGCCACTCTTCCCTCTCTTGCCATCAGCTTCCAGCAGCGGGTGGAGCGATTCCATGAGAACTCAGGAGTTCGGGAGCTGCCACCTGACACCTACATCAGCAGGACCATCGCACTAGTCAACTGTGGGCCCCCTCTGAGGTGAGAGAACCCCACAGTGTGTTGTGATAGGGTAGGAGGGCCAGTCTCAGGTGACAGCTGGGCTGGGATGCCTGGACCCTGGCTGGTAATGACAGAACTGACTGAGGGTGGGAGGGGGAATGTGTATAAAACCTTAGAAGCATAAAATCTTGGAGTCCTAGAAACAACTGTAGTAGCACAGAGCATCAGAATCAGAAAGTCAACAGAACATCAGAGTGTTAGAATTATAGAAATTTAGAAGGCAGACAAAGACTCTAAGAATGAGAGATTTTTTGGTGTGTTTTATATTTCTTTTTATTTCTTTTATATATTTATTTTTTGAGAAAGAGTTCACTCTGTCACCCTGAGTAGAGTGCCATGATGGCGTCATACCTCACAGCAACCTCCGATTCCTGGGTTCAAGTGCCTCTTGCCTCCGCCTCCCAAATAACTGGGACTACAGCCACCCGCGACGACACCTGGCCAGTTTTTCTATTTCTTCAGTAGAGACGGGGTCTCACTCTTGCTCAAGCTAGTCTCAAACTCCTGAGCTCAAGCAATCCACCTGCCTAGGTCTCCCAGAGTGTTAGGATTGATCACAGGCATGAGGTACCCCTGGTTCTTTATCTTTTTTTTAAATTGTATTGTAATGGTAATGCATCGCATTGGTAATGCACTCACATGGTTCAATTTTCAAAAAGGGCATACAGTGAAAAGTCTCATTCCTGCCACATCCTTCCCTCACTTTGGGGTAACCATATTGCTATTCCACATTTTTGCAGGGATATTTAATACACTTACCAATAAATAGGTGTAAATAGATGTATATGGGCATATGAACACATATACATATTTTATGCAAATATAAGTAACTGTATTTAACTATATGTACATACAGGGTATCTATAAAGTTTGTGTGCAATTTAAAATGCATGCTATTTTTTTTTTAAGATAGAGTCTCACTTTGTCACCCTTAGTAGAGTGCCGCGGCATCCTAGCTCACAGCAACCTCTAACTCTTGGGCTAAAGCTATTTTCTTGCTTCAGCCTCCCAAGTAGCTGAGACTACAATGCCCACCATAACACCCAGCTATTTTTAGAGATGGGGTCTCACTCTAGCTCAGGCTGGTCTCGAACTCATGAGCTTAGGTGATCTGCCCACCTCAGCCTCCCATAGTGCTGGGATTACAGATGTGAGCCACTGCACCCCAGCTTTTTTTGTTTTTTTTTGAGAGAGAGTCTCAAGCTGTTGCCCTGGGTAGAGCATCATAGCTCACAGCGACCTCCAACTCCTGGGCTCAAGTGATCCTTTTGCGTCAATTTTTCTATTTTTAGTAGAGATGGGCTCGTGCTTTTTGCTCAGGCTGGTCTCAAACTGGTGAGCTCAAGCTATCCACCCACCTTGGCCTCCAAGAGTGCTAGGATTACACACATGAACTACTGTGCCCGGCCTGCACACTATTTTAAATTGCACACGAACTTTACGGACATCCTATGTATTACTTTTCTATTTATTTTTTTTTTTGAGATAGAGTCTTACTTTATCACCCTTAGTACAATGCCATTGTGTCATAGCTCATAGCAACCTCAGACTCTTAGGTTCAAGTGATCTTCTTTCTTGCCTCAACCTCTTAAGTAGCTGGAACTACAGGCACCCACCACAGATAGTGTCTGGCTATTTTTAGAGATGGGATCTTTTTTTTTTTTTTAGACAGAGCCTCAATCTGTTGCCCTGGGTAGAGTGCTGTGTCATCACAGCTCACAGCAACCTGCAATTCCTGGGCTCAAGTGATTCTCCTGCCTCTGCTTCACAGGTAGCTGGGACTACAGGTGCCCACCACAATGCCTGGCTATTTTTTGTTTGCAGCCGTCCTTGTTGTTTGGCGGGCCTGGGCTGGATTCGAACCCGCCAGCTCAGGTGTATGTGGCTGGCGCCTTAGCCAATTGAGCCACAGGCGCCAAGCCTAGAGATGGGGTCTTGCTCTTGCTCAGGCTGTTCTCCAACTCCTGAGCTCAGGCAATCTGCCCTCCTCAGCTTCCCAGAGTGCTGGGATTACAGGTCACCTTGCCCGGCCTTTTTTTCCCCCTTCTTTTTAAAAAAATACAAATAGCAGAGTATCATACCTACCCTGCCATTTGCTTGCCCCTTGAATACTTGGAGACCTTCCAGTTACAGAATGAGGAGTTTCCATGCTCCTTTTAAATATCTGAGCCATGTCCCACTGGTGGCTGTTCCATTATTTATTTAATTGGTCCTGCGTGGAAGGACGGTGGTTCCACTTTTCCAGGGAGGAACCTTGCATACCTGTCATCTCCTATGAGACCCTCTAAGGGTGCCTTTCTAGAATGGGTTCCACTGGGACAAGGGCCCAATGTTTGTGATTTGGGCAGAAAGTGCTTGGATCAGGTTACTTTCCCTTCAGCCATGGAGGAAAGTAGACTGCTACAGTGGCAGATAGTGAGAAGGATAGGATTTCAGAATTGTAGACATTTAGAACCATGGACTTTTAGAATAGAAGTCTTGGCTCGGCGCCTGTGGCTCAAGCGGCTAAGGCGCCAGCCACATACTCCTGAGGTGGCAGGTTCGAATCCAGCCTGGGCCTGCCAAACAACAATAATGGCTGCAACCAAAAAATAGCCAGGCGTTG